AGGGAACAGGGTCGAAAGCTACCTTCACGACATAGAGAGTCATTCGAATGAAATCGAACAAAGGTTAAACAAAAGAACAGGGTCGAAAGCTACCTTCACGACGTAGAGAATCAATCGAATGAAATCGAACAAAGGTAACAAAAGGGAACAGGGTCGAAACACACAGATGCATCGGAACAAAATTGACAGAGAAAAAGAAGATTAAAAAGCACAGGTAATAGAGATAGACGCTACCTAAGATGAGAATGGAACAAAACGAAGACAAAGCATGAATAGGACGTGGAGAAAGACAGCTGAACGTCGCCTACACGGGGGAACACATGCAGGGTCAACGAAAAGGTGAGGCATACAGAAAACCATACAGGAGACGAACGAGTGATTAACAATCAATGTACGTGGAGGAAGAACGGCGGCTAACCACAGCATACGCGAATGCAATGGCTCAAGGACAATCCACTTCACACGGAAGGGTGAGTAAAACGTACAAACAGCACACGAAAATCAGAAGACAATAGACGTTGAATTGCCCAACAATTAAAACAAAGACCGAATCAGATTGACGGCACTAGAGCCAGATCAGTAATTGACTACAGCAAACAAGTGACATTAGGACCACATACGATTCGCTTATAAGGAAAAACGAAGACCCAGGAACGACCGGAGCGATATCAACATCCAGAACCACAGAGTAGCAACATCGCCCTAAACTCCAAAAGAGTAAAACCAATTCGCAAAGAGCGGGCCGATCTAGTCTGTGAACAGTGTACGTAGAAGAACCCCAATAGCACAACCCTACCACGACGACAACTAGAGACCAAATGCAGAATCAATTACTGTCTGGGACGTCAGTGGCAGCCACAAAGATCTCGACCGACACAAGCGTACTCCCGGGGGTTGAAACAACAATCCTTCACGTAAAGATAGTGGGTGAAACAACAATCCTTCACGGAAAAATAGTGGGAAGACAGCAAGCACGACCAGAGGAAGTTCGATGACATGGACACCGCGGGCAATTCCTCGCGCAAACGTAGCTCAGATTACGTTCCAAAGGCATAACTGGCGCAGCCACATATACGGCGCAGTCGGTTAGCGTAGTACCCCAACAACCCACACTCCACACGGCGCGCCGCAATTTACAAACGCCAAGTCAGCGAGGCCTTTTGAAAAAAACACCATAGATAACAGACGCACAAGGTCTACTGCAACCATAATTAACAGACGCACAAGGCCGAGGCCAACCATAGTTAACAGCAGCACAAGGTCGCGTCCAACCATAGACAACAGCAGCACAAGGTCCCGTCCGACCATACGACATCCACTCCTGGGAACTCCATCACACCCCGCTAACCAACTAATGACAACCGGAGGTGGGAGACACGAACGACCCACGAACAACGCCCACGCTCATAATAAATCATGCCCCAAACAACAATGATGTTGACAGTTTATCATGACGAAACCAGACATGCACAGAAGCAAACGCATTGAAAAACATGTGGTGCCAAACCATGCCTACTACAATCCGACGTACAACACAGGCGACTGAGTGCTGCGACAGACTTTCCTAAGTGTTCAGCCGCCTCGAGTTACCAACGGCCATATCTGGTTAAACAAAGGTATCAACGCACTGTAGACAACCACTCCGACCATAAATAGATACCACTTAAGACCTGCAGATAGATACACGCCTTGAAGGACGGCGGGGAAAGCTACCCCACGTCAAGAAGTGCCGATGGAGCACGCGAGCTAAGAACATAAGCGCGTGCAACAAGGAAATTGGACAACACATGCCAGCTGCAGCACAAAGGGGACCGAACAAGTACTTGCATACATGCAAAGCCGAACACCCCCCCGAGACAGAATCAGCGCCAGTGGCGCCGTGCAAAACAGGCGATGCGGAACAAGCCCCTACAAGGCATGCAATCCAGAACACCCCCGGGAAACATGCAACGGGGACCGAACATCCACGAGCGAAGCTCGTACGATTAACGGGCCCAGCGCGAGCATAGCACGAGCAAACAATTAGACATCACCACCATCAAGCACTTCGATATTACCAATGACGCTTGAACGCAGACCCCGCAGAACAGCGCCACATGAGCCAAGAACAGCAGGGGTAAAACGTAAATTCGCCTAAGTACGATACTATGGCCGGCAGGAACCACTAACAACGACAAGACGTCACCTAGCTGAGAGTGATGGCATGGAAGGGACGCCAATGAAAAGCAAATCACGCGATGAAGAAGTGCAGACGCTTGAACGCAGACCCCGCAGAACAGCGCCACATGAGCCAAGAACAGCAGGGGTAAAATGTAAATTCGCCCAAGTACGATACTATGGCCGGAAGGAACCGCTAACAACGACAAGACGTCACCTAGCTGAGAGTGATGGCATGGAAGGGACGTCAATGAGAAGCACATCAGGCGATGAAGAAGAGAACATCCTCACCGACCAAAACGCGAAGTGCTAGTCCCGAAACTTTTTCACGAAGTAAACCCCTAGACAATTGGTAGATCGCTCGCGCAAAGCGCCGCAACTTAAATGTCCTCGAGCTGGCGATCCATAGCTCCGGGTTTGCGAAGTACTCGACCCTCAAAAACACATACACGACGACCCAAGCCAGTAAAGGCACGCCTCGTCACATCAAACGTGGTTAACCATAGTTGGACATCATGCGCAAACGAGGTCTGTAGATAACTCCAAGTGCGTATCACCGTGCAAGGCACAAACAATAGCGAATGTAAATAGTCATGACAGCAGAGGAAGACCACATAAGGTCGACTTCATGCATCGGGGAGGGGAAGGGATGGAGGAGAGGAAAAGAATTGAGGTGGAGAATGAAAGAAAATTATGGGGAGGGACGGGATCGGAGAAGCGACGAGACGGGTACCACGAACGGTGTCCATTACTTCCCACGCAGGGAAACTAGCCAGCCATGGAGTCTTCCGACTTCAGAGCCGGCGAAAAGGAGTCGTGACGATCCGCAGAGTCCGAAAGCAGTCTCATAAGCGGGCAAGTCGCACACAAAATGAACTCCTAACGCAGCGACAGACGCGATACGGCTATGTCCCGCTGACCGCTCAATACGAGTGAACGAAACGGATGCAGAGCCGTCGAAGGATGAGACACAGTTCGTATTAAGACCCTTGGGGATCGCGCAGCAAGATAAAACTTAATAAGGAAAGCCCTATAGAAGGCAACGCAACAGCATACAGAAAACCTGCCGACGACAGAAATCAAGCCATGATGAACGGAGACAGCAATTAAAACCATTCGCATCTTGATAAGCACACCGATGAATGATAACCCGACGAGTGACGCAATTCGTCCGGACTGAAAGTTCAAAATCTGTTTGAGACCAAGGGAGCAAAACGCGCCCACGCCATCCAAATTCTGCGTAAGACATCAGATAGAGGGCACGATAAGGGTATCCTTAACACAGCATACTTCAAGGAGAAAAATCCGAGAAGCAATCGTCAGGGTCTTCCACGTTGAAGAGAACGCGTGGCACACAAACAACGGATGCAGAGAAGCGACAGACACGAAGGGCGAAAAACAAGTTCTATGGCCACTGGCGAGTCCAAGGAGGACACAAAGTAGAGCATTGAGACAAAGGGCAAATACAGACAACTAAAAGAAGCTGAAATTCGAGAAAAACAAAACACGCAAGAGCGCAAGCGTAGATGCAAATGAAGGGAGTCGGGAAAAGAAAAACACGCAGAGAGCATGCGTAAATGCAAAAAAAGGGAGTCAGTAACCGCAAAACCGATACGGTAGTGCATCTCCACATAAATGCGTTTCGAATAGATGGATCGATTAGCAACGACACGATAGATCTCACGGTGTAGGGCACACAAACGCACTGAAGTAGGGCACATATCAGCCCCAGCTGGCCATATGCTAACTGAGAGAGATGAGTGAACATGGAAAAGAGGTCACGACGAGAACGAAAAACTGATAGTCATGGCAGGAGTACGAACTAGTATAAGATCACAGCCACGATACACGGTATATTAGCTAAACGCCATAGACGTTACCTTGTTCTCCACGGTCGAGATTGGAACCCTAGGAACCTCGATCTGCGCTTGCATGCCTTCCCGCCTCTTTTTGAGCAAGCTCTCCTCTCTCTTCGACTTCCGGATTTCCACCATATTATCCTCCCTCTTTCTACGGGCGTCATCGGCGTCGATGGCTTTCTTGAAATTTTTCCGTCGAGACTCCGTCCTCGCATTCGGTCTGAGAGACATTTTGCCGAATTCCCTCTTCTACCAATCAACAGATAATGATGGAAATCCTGTAGTCGAAGCTCGACAATCGTCTTCCCCACGACCCCGCGCGCTCTCCAAAACCCTTCGCGCTCCTCCAAGAGCAAATCCCTTACCCTGCTGAGAAGCCAATTATATCCGAACTGACGATTCCCACAAGGGCAGAGACAGGAAGAGAAGCGAAGGAACGACGGCTATGGCGGTGGAGAAACGACGCGAGAACCAACTCACACACCGGTTGGAAACCCTGAGACGGCGTGTCGGAGAGGCAGAGAACACCGGGGAGATGCTGTTCCGCGCCGAATGGAGCGAGCGAAGATTATCACGAAAACGGCGTCCCTCAATTGTAGGCAGCCCTTCGACCAGAAATCTATCGATCTACTGACTGCCCCCTTGAAACAAACTTCGCCCATCGACTACAGCCAGATACAGCCAGAAAACCTTTCACACTACACTACCACAATTCCTCAATACCCCACTATAATGCTTTCCCCGCCAACAACGCAAATACCGTGGCACAACGCGCGCAGACCCCGGGATGGCGCCCTCGATCAAAACCCGCACAAGCCATGGGAGGCCGCCGCCGTCGATCGAAACCCGCGCAGGCCGCAGGATGCCGCCGTCGATCGACAGTCCTCCGCTTCCCTCCACCCCTCCTCTCCTCTGCCCGCTGGACGGCGTCGTATCTGTGACCCTCTTCCAACTTCCAATTCCAGTGTCGCCCCTCGGAGAGGGGATACGGCATCGCCTCGACGAAACCCCAAAGGAATCATGCGCTCCAAGAAAGGAAGGCTTCAACCACAAATCCAGGCCGTCCAGTCCAGACTTGAAACATGTTTTCCGTATTCCTCGGTACACCCCTCGTAGCCTGACGGGTTTTCCTCAACCCCTCCCGCTCAGTACTCAGAACTCGCATCGCACAACGGAGCCTGGGACAACAGAAGAAAATAGCGTCCGAGACCCCCAGAAAGAGGGAGGGGAAATCGCGTCAAGAAAGAGGTGTTCATCAAAGAGCAGCATCCATCCTGTCCAAAAAGGCATCGCTTTATCACTCTAAGCTCTTACCACCGTCGATATTCATCATCTACGGAAATAAAATAAACTAACTCGTCATCTACGGAAATAAAATCAACCAACTGCCTCATTGAATTGACTTACCGTGAGCACCCGTAGTTCGTTTGTTTATGCGGTTCGGGAAGGGTAAGGTATTGATTATGCTGTATTGATTATGCTGTATGTATGTTTTGTCATGTTCGCTATACACAACTCGAAGAGTGTGTGGGGGGGGGGTGCCGGTTGGTGCTTTATTCACGATGTTCATGGGACGCTGGACC